AGCTAATCTTCATAAGTCATGTCAGGTCACGGTTGATCGTCATGAGTCAAGTCAAGTCACAGCTGCTCCTCATGAGTCCAGTCACGTCTCAACTGATCTTCCAGAGTCTCGTCACATCTCAGCTGATCTGCCAGAGCCTCGTCACGTCTCAGCTGATCTTCCAGTCTCGTCACATCTCAGCTGATCTTCCAGAGTCACGTCATGTCTCAGTTGTTTGTCCAGAGTGACGTCACGTCTCAGCTATTCGTCCAGAGTCACGTCACATCACAGCTGATCATCCAGACATCACAGCTGATCATCCAGAATCATGTCACATCACAGCTGTTCATCCAGAGTCATGTCACCTCACAGCTGATCATCCAGAGTCACGTCACATCACAGCTGATCATCCAGAGTCACATCACATCACAGCTGATCATTCAGAGTCATGTCACATCACAACTGATCATCCAGAGACCGGTTACTTCCTGTCTGCTGCACCCAGAAGTCTGAGGTCAGTTCGTCTGTACTTCCGACTGGTATCTAGTGTGGAGGATCCACCGCTAGTGTCAGCAGTCGCAGCTGGTATCCCCAAACCCACTCACTCTAGCCCTCCTGTTCCTGAACTAAGTCCCCTGTCTGAAGCGCTTCCCATGATGGGGATCGCTTTATGGTGTGTCTGGGCTGCGTACACTACCACAGAACCTCTCGAGGTGGCGGCGTCCACTGTGATTTCTCCGGAGGTGGCGGCGTATGATGCAGAACCTCTTGATGCGGTGGTGCTTGCTTCAGCTCCTTATATGGTGGTGGCGCCCAACCATGCACTCTCAGCCTGTCATGTCGTGGTCGAAGGAACCTTTGCCGAACTATGTACTATGTATGTATGTGTGTCAGTGGTATCAACTTATGAACTCTCTGCCTGTCCTGTCACAGCTATGGAGGCCGTCTGTGATCTCTCTGCCTGTCCTGTCATGGCTATGGAGGCCGTCTGTGAACTCTCTGCCAGTCCTGAACCAGCCATGGAGGCCAATTATGAACTATTGCCCTGTCTCAACCCAGCCGAAGAAGCTGGTTTTGAACTCTCAGCCTTGTCTGTCACACCCGAGGATGTTGTCTGTGAACTTCCTGACTGTCCTTCTGCGGCTACAAGGGCCATTCAGGAACTCTCATCCATGCCTGTCACTGCCATGAAAACCTTAAATGAACTTTCTGTATGCCCTGTTAACCCTGTCGTTGCCAAAGAGACCATCAGTGAACCGTCTGTCTATTCAGTTTCAGTCAATGAGTTTGATTTTGATCTGTCTGTCCTGTATTAACGAATGAGTCTTACTGTGAATTGTCTGCCAGTTTAGTTCTACTCAATGAAATGTCTATCAGTCCAGTGGCCGCCAATGAATCTGACTCAAGAATCAAACCAGGAATCTGTTTCTGAATTATCTGCTAGTCTCGTTTCCCTCAATGAGCCTGATGTTGAATCACCTGTCTGTTCCGATCCAACTGACAATTCTGATGTTGTACTGTCTGCCTGCCCAGTATCAGTCCATGAGCTATTTGTCAGTTCAGTTCCAGTCAGTACTCTTGGTTTTGAACAATCTGTTCACCCTATCTCTGCCAATACATCCTATTCTGAATTGTCCGCTTATCTGGCTTCGACTAATGTGTCTGATTTTGATCCATCTGTCGGTCCAGTTTCAATTAATGGATCTGAGTGTGAGTTGTCTGCCTGTCCAGCTTCAATCACTGACCTGTCTGCCAATCCAGTGTCAGTCAATGCATCCCATTGTGAACTGTCTGTTGGTTTAAATTCTGCAGTCAAATCTGATTTTGAATTGTCTGTCTTTCCAGTCTCAACTAATGAGCCTGAGGGTGAATTTTCAGCCTGTCCAGTTCCAGTCCGTGGGCCTGTTTATGAACTGTCTGCCCATTCATTTATCACCAGGGAAACTATTTATGAACTTTTTGTGTTCCCTGCCTCAGCCCTTGGGGCCATAAATGCTCTGTCTGTTTCGTGTGTCTCAGTGTTCCTTAGGTCCCTGTCCCTGCCGTGGTCTTCAGTTTTGTCTGCTCCGCCATGGTGGTCTTCTGCTCTGGCCTGGTGGTCTTCTGCTCTGTCTGCTCCACCGTGGTGTTCTTCTGCTCCGACTACTGCTTCGCCGGCATTACCCTGGTTCTCTGCTCTGCCCTGGCTTCCTGCTTCGCCGGTTCTGCCTGGGTGCCCTGCTCTGCCGGCTCTGCCTCGGTCCCCGGTCCCTCCAATTCGGCTTTGTCACGAATTCTGTTCGCTCACCACCAGAGATCACCCACTCATTACTATGGACTCTTGCACTACACTAACTGTTGCACTTCACTCCGGACTACATTTCCCATCATCCATTGCACGGATTACACCAACAGCTGTAACCAATCAGACACACTCTACATAAGCCATGGACTTCCTCTTTCTCGATGTGGAGTATTGTAAGTGCATATCGCTACCTTAGCTGATAGCTACTTTACGGAGCCTGCTCTAGTTTACCTAGTCATTGTCATAGTCTTGCCTTGCCTTGCCTGCTTTCCCGTGTTCGGATTCTTGCCTGAGAATTTTGGATTACCCTTTCGTCTTGTCTTTTGGATTATACCTGTCTGCCAATCCAGTGTCAGTCAATGCATCCCATTGTGAACTGTCTGTTGGTTTAAATTCTGCAGTCAAATCTGATTTTGAATTGTCTGTCTTTCCAGTCTCAACTAATGAGCCTGAGGGTGAATTTTCAGCCTGTCCAGTTCCAGTCCGTGGGCCTGTTTATGAACTGTCTGCCCATTCATTTATCACCAGGGAAACTATTTATGAACTTTTTGTGTTCCCTGCCTCAGCCCTTGGGGCCATAAATGCTCTGTCTGTTTCGTGTGTCTCAGTGTTCCTTAGGTCCCTGTCCCTGCCGTGGTCTTCAGTTTTGTCTGCTCCGCCATGGTGGTCTTCTGCTCTGGCCTGGTGGTCTTCTGCTCTGTCTGCTCCACCGTGGTGTTCTTCTGCTCCGACTACTGCTTCGCCGGCATTACCCTGGTTCTCTGCTCTGCCCTGGCTTCCTGCTTCGCCGGTTCTGCCTGGGTGCCCTGCTCTGCCGGCTCTGCCTCGGTCCCCGGTCCCTCCAATTCGGCTTTGTCACGAATTCTGTTCGCTCACCACCAGAGATCACCCACTCATTACTATGGACTCTTGCACTACACTAACTGTTGCACTTCACTCCGGACTACATTTCCCATCATCCATTGCACGGATTACACCAACAGCTGTAACCAATCAGACACACTCTACATAAGCCATGGACTTCCTCTTTCTCGATGTGGAGTATTGTAAGTGCATATCGCTACCTTAGCTGATAGCTACTTTACGGAGCCTGCTCTAGTTTACCTAGTCATTGTCATAGTCTTGCCTTGCCTTGCCTGCTTTCCCGTGTTCGGATTCTTGCCTGAGAATTTTGGATTACCCTTTCGTCTTGTCTTTTGGATTATGTTTGCACCTTGCCTGGACTATTGCTCGTGTTCCTCAGATTACCCTTCTTGTTAAACCCTTTGGATTACATTCTACATCGATCAACCCACGCCTGTTTAACGGCTGACAGAAAAAAATTATTTTGCCTATATGTCACAATATGAGGTAAATCCGGCCCTGTACATGATACTGGTTTTTGTTGCCAAATTGGTTTGGAACAGTTGTTGAATAAACAATTAAACTGAACTATTATGCCTGTCAATCTGCTTGACTGACAGTTTTATTGATCACTGAGAGAGCATTGACTTGGTATGATGTTTGGCCAAGCATGTCTCCAGACCTAAACCCTATTGAGCATCTGTGGGGCATCCTCAAACGGAAGGTGGAGGAGCGCAAGGTCTTTTAACATCCACCAGGTCCGTGATGTTGTCATGGAGGAGTGGAAGAGGACTCCAGTGGTAACCTGTGAAGCTCTGGTGAACTCCAT